TTTTTTTTTTTTTTAACAGAGGATTGAACTTGGGACCTTAGGCTTTTGAGGCAGGCGCGGGAACCACTGAGCTAAATCCCTGGCCCCTCCCATTTGATTGTTTGTGCTAGTTCATGGGCAACTGAGGTTTTGTTCATAAAATCTTTTCCTACACCTTTGTCTTCAAGAGTTCTACCTAACGTCTCTTCCATCTGGTTTAGCGTTTCTGTTTTAATATGTAGATCTTTAATCCATTTTGATTTGTTTAGTGCATGGCGAGAGATATAGGTCTGGTTTTAATCTTTGGCAAGTTGAAACCCAGTTTTTCCAGCACCATTTATTAAAGAGGCTATCTTTCCTCCAGTGAGGGTGTTTGGCTCCTCTGTCGAAGATGAGGTGGCCGAGTGTGTCTGGAGTTGTTTTGGCATCTTTTAATCGGTTCCACTGGTCCTCAGGTCCTTTTCTTTGCCAGTACCATGCTGTTTTTATCCCAGTAGCTCTGTGAGGCAGGCCGCGGAACCACTGAGCTAAATCCCCCGCCCACAGTAGCTTTGTAGTATAATTTCAAGTTTGGGGTTGTGATGCCCCCTGCCATGTCTCTGTTGCCTAGAATTGCTTTTGCTATTGTGGGTATCTTGTTCCAAATGAAATTTTGGATTGTTTTCTCAAGGTCCATGAAGTATGCTGCTGGGATTTCAACTGGGATTGCGCTGAATCTATATAGCAGGTTTGGAAGTATGGCCATTTTCACTATGTTGATCTTTCTTTCCCTGGAGAAGAGGATGTCTTTCCATTTTCTGATATCATCTTCAATCTCTCTTTTCAGATTGCTATAGTTTTCAGAAAAGAGGTCTCATTTCTTTTGTTAGGTTGATTCCTAAGTATTTCAGTTTTTTGGATGCTATTGTGAAAGGAATTGTTTGCCCTATTTCTGTTTCAGTGAGTCTGTTCGTGTAGAGGAAAGCTATTGATTTTTGTAACAGAGCTAATTTGAAAGACACTTGGAGGCTGGTGCTCCAAGGCCCAGTCCAACACCTAAAGAGCCCAGCCGAAGAGCGACGCCACAGCCTGCCCAGAGTACGCTCCACAGGGTCTGAGTCCTGGTAGGAAAGGAAGCCAGAGTTTCGGGACCCAGAGCTCTATTAACAGCCCCGGGAAATCCTACAAAACCGCGGATGCGGGGCGCAGACAAGGCCTGCCCCACTTCCAAACGCCCGCCAATCGCAGCGTACGATGCCGTAAGGAGAGAAGCGCCCTTTCCCGAGGAGGCGGCGCGCGCGAGAGGAGGCGGCGCGCGCGAGAGGAGGCGGCGCGCGCGAGAGGAGGCGGCGCGCGCGAGAGGAGGCGGCGCGCGCGGAGATGCCCCGCGGCGGCCGCGCTTGCGGTCCCAAGGTAAGCTGTGGGGCTGGAGTTGAAGCCCTCGGTTTCCCGCCTTTTCTGGAACCGGCGGGCCGACGTGCCCCTCTCAGTCGAATTCTCGTCGGTTGGGCTTGGGGGCGCAGGGCAGGCGGTCAGCCGGCACCCCGGGCTGGTAGGATGGGTGTTGTGGCTGGCGGGCACGGCCGGGCGGTGACCCGGAGTAAGGCGAAGGCCGCGCCCTGACGGTTTCCTGCGCAGTGCTCAGAGTTCCTACCCTGGGACACACGGGGGTGGCAGCCGCGCGAAGCAATGAAGTGGGCTTCTGGGAGTTGGGTCTGGAACGAGTGCGTGAGATGCATCAACGTGTTTTGTTTCCTTTTTACTTTGTCGTATCATGATAGCGATGGACGTTGGAATGTCTCTGCCAGTTTTCCCTAAATATCTCTGTTGCTACGCTTTCCCTCAAAACTTTCTCTTCCTGACACAGTGAGGGAGAAGTTTGGAGCTAACTGTTCCCTGTTTGTATCCAGCGCCCTCTGCAGTTTGTAGGCATAGAGTAGGTGTATAGGAACTATTGCATGGATGATATTTAAGTGATTGCACCTGTATTTATGAGTCCATCCTTTTTCTTGTTTTGACGGTTGTGCTAGTTTTGCTGTCTTTTTTATTTAGGGTTCTTGCTTACAAATACGTTTGTCTCATTATACTCCAAATTTTAAATAGCACCTCCTTTTTTTTTTTTTTTCGGTACCGGAGATCGAACTCGGGACCTTGAGCTTGTGAGGCAGGTGGCAGAACCACTGAGCTAAATCCCGGGCCCCCCTTTCTTGACTCTTACTCAAAAACTTCTGAAAAAATAGTCCACATATATTGGTTCAACTTGCTTAATATTATCATGCTTCCTTGTTTCTCACGTATCATTGAATGTCAGACCACACTGTCAATTTTGTAACTGATTTTAGGGAATTCAAAAAATATGACAAACCTATCAATTGTAAGACACATTCTAGTTTCAGAAATACTAAAATGTGAAAAAAAAGAGGACTATATGAAATTTCAAAATCCAATTTAAGTGATTTACTTGGTCACTGTGGCCTTTGACACATTTGCCACTTCCTTTAACTTCTTTTGGAGCGTCTGGGATATTGGTGTCAGTTTTTCTTTCTCACAGCCAGTCATTTACTTGTCTTTACTGGCTTCTGCCATGTTCTAATTTTTGACCTTGTGTTTCTCACTTTACAAGTTTGCCCTGAATAATTTCATACGTTGATGTTAACTGTTACTATGTGTAGAGATGACTTTCAGATAAGCATTTGACCTTTTCTTTGAGCCCACTTAAACTCAGTGTATCATGAAACCATCATTTTCTCACTCTTAATCTGTCAGGCCCTAACAGTTCCTCCTGATTTAAAAATCTTAGTCTTTTTGTTGTTTGTTTTTGTTTTTTGAGACAGGGTCTCACTGTGTAGCCCAGGCTGGCCCTGAATTTCCAGTGATCCTCCTGCCTCAGCCTTCCAAGTCCTGGTATTACAGGTGTGCACCACCATGCCTTGGCTGAAATCTTAGTGTTTTTTTTGTTTCTGGTACCAGGGATCGAACTCTGGACCTTGCGCTTGTGAGGCAGGCATGGGAATCCCTGAGCTAAATCCCCGACCCCATAGTATTTTTGACTTGACATTCATTTCTGCCCTCTTCATTCTATTATTTCTCAAGACTATCAATTTTTTTCAGTAGTAGCATTAATCATTATATGCTGTGTAACTGATTGTCTCAAAATTAAAGTAGCTTACAGCAAATGTTTATTATCTCATACTATTTATGAGGGTAAGGAATCAGTACTGCTCAACTATATATTCGTAGGTCAGCATCTCCCACAAGATGGCAGTCAAATAAAGGGTCATTGGAGCTGGAGAATCCACTCTTAAGTACACTCACATGGTTCTTGGCAAGTCTCAGTTCCTCTTGTTTTCCATAGGGCATCTCACAGCATGGTAGCTGGCTTTTCTATGACCAGAACAAGGAGTACCCAAGAGAGGCCCTCTCATTTATAAGCTAATCTCAGAAATGATATAACATTATACAGCCGATTACCACTCTGGTACATTGTGGTAAAACACTGTAAAAAATATGAATGAGAAGAGGAGGGAATCATAGGGGCCATCTCAAAGGCTGGCTACCTTAATAGTTTTGTCCCCAGAATTTCTTTTTCGTTTCTGTCACCCTAAGTCAGGCTCAAGGTACTGCACTTCATGCTTGGAGGTGTTTATTTATGGTACCAACTAGCATGCTCCTATTACATCTTCAGAGATGACTTTTCCTTAGGCATTACTTTTCTTATATGGTTATTCTACTTAAACATTGTCTTCTTACTAACTACATAAGTTATTTCAGATTTACCTGTGTTGAGTGCTTTATATGTATTTTATTTTATTTTTGGTACCTGGGATCGAACTCTAGTCCTTGCACTTGCGCAGCAGGCAGCGAAACCACTGAGCTAAATTCCCGGCCCTATATGTATTTTAATTCTTTTAGCAATCCTGTTAGTCAGGGATGATGAAACAAGCTCAAAAGAGAGGTTAAATATTGTCCATGGTCACATAGCAGTTGAGGGAAAAGGGTAGAATTTATACTCAGGTGGTCTACTTCAAAGTTTGCTTTTATTCAGGTTCTCATAGTCTATTGACAGTTTTCAAAATATGGTCACTGCCTCATTTCTTAACTTTATAATTTACTTCATTATTATCTTCTAGGTAAATTGGACTGTTGTCACCATACTTTTGTGCTTCTTGGTGTTGGTTATGTTCTTTGGAATAATGTCTTTTCCCCCATTTCTGCTTGCTGAAATCTCTTGGTCATTCACCAAGGCCCACCTCAAATCTCACCTTCTCCCTTGTTATTCCAGTTATAAGCTTTCTTCTATTCCTATGGAATTTTATTTCTATCACTTACAATTTCATGTCTTGTGTTAGATTTATTTTTGTCTATACTTTTATTCCCTTATAACATAGATACTGTAAGATTAGGGACTATGTCTTTACCTCACTTGAAAGGAAGAAAAGAAATAAGGAAAAAAAAAGAAAAGAAAACTCCTCATTAGCAGATTGGCTCTGTGTTGGGGTGCTTCTTCAGCCCTTACCCAGACTGTTTACATATCTACATTAATTTTTTTTTTTTTAGCTTAAAAGATTTTTTTATTAGTACATGTTTATAGTATGTAAAGATTACATTGATTGTGTGGAGTTGGTTCATTTACATAACTGTCATAAGGAACTGTCAGCTTCTTTTTTCACTAGGCTTTTTGTAAGTTTTTGTAAGTTTTTGACTAGATTTCAGAGTTTCTACTGAGAATGTGATTCCTGCCCTCTTTGATTCAGTTACCTTGAGGGTTGACTGAAAAAGAATTTTTTTTTTTTTTTTTTACTTAGAGCTTGTTTATTTATTTGCTGAATTAGAAGCCAATGTACACGAAATTTTTTATATTGCTTTTTTTCACTTATAGAAAACAGTAACAAAAATTCAGTCCCCAAACTGTCATCACATTCCCATGAGGTTAATGAAATAACTGGGGCAACCTGTGCAGTTTGACAGCTGGGAATTGTGTGTAATCCAAATCCAGCCAGGTCCTGCCAGTAAACTGCTGCAGCAGGTGGCATTTATTGCTCCATGTATTGAAGGGATGCTTTGGATTCATGGGCAGCACAGCTTCCAGGACAGCAGTAGCAATTCCTGCAATGCCTTAGGCCCAGGAGGACACTGCGGGCAGAGCTGCAGCCTGCCTGCTTTTTGAGAAGGGGTGCTTATTTTTCCTGCTCTGCCTTTTCCTCTGTGTTCCCACTCCCCAGAACTTCCGTGCACCCCTTAGAGAAGGGGCCTAGGTGAGAAGCAGTAGCAATAGCATTTTAGCCAAATTCTCTCAGGCCAAAGTTTTCCTCACACTGTATGGTAGTCATTAGGTGTTTCTTTCAAAAATATTTTAATAATCATATTATAATGTATAATATTCTTCTAATTAGACATCTGTTCCTACATAACTAACCTCATAGCAAACATCCTTCAAACAGTTTTCATTTTCGGTTGTTTTGTTTGTTTTTGGTACTGGGGCTTATACGTAGGGCCTTTGTACTGAGCTCCCTCCCCAACCCTTTTTAAACTTTTTAAATTTTGAGACAAGGTCTCACTAAGTCTGTAAATGACAACCTTCATGCCTCAGCCTTCCAGAATGCTGGGACTATAGGCATGTACCACCATGCCTGGCTCATTTTTTGTTTTATTTTTTGCAATACTGAGGATGAATACAGGGGCCTCTGCCTACGAGGCAAGTGCTCTACCACTGCACTACATCTCCAGCCCTTTTTAGTTTGAGACAGGATCTCACTAAGTTGCCCAGGATACTTCAAATTTGCAATCCTCCTGCCTCAGCTTCCCAACTATCTGGGATTATAGGTCTGTACCACCAAACCCGACCATTTCTGGTTACTTATGATACATTCCTAAAAGTAGAACTCTATGTCTGGAAACAAAATACTAAATTGTTCTCCAGAAATGGATACTCACAGTTGCAGTGTGTTAGATTGCCTAACACAAACCTTGGCCAAATGTGAGAATTACAGTGAAAAATATATTTTCTAACTTCATAGGAGAAGGAAATCTGAGTTGCAAAATGAGAACTTGTCTCAAAAAAAAAAAAAAAAAAGGCTGAAGTCTCCATTGTTATGGAACAAGTGGATTCACAACTGGGAACACAAGATGTGCCTGTTATTAACAAGTGAAGCAATAAAGATACAGGAAGGTGCTGGGTAGCGTGCCTGCCTAGAGCAAGACCCTAGACTTCATCCCCACCTCCTCAAGGGGCAGGGCAAGGAAGATACACTAAATGTTGCAAAAAATTTAAAGTGAGCTCAGGGTAAGCAGACTAGACTCAGACATTTCTTGGTTAGATCAAGTACAACCTAATTATCTAAAGGATGTAGAAGCAAATCAATATAGTCAGGCTGCAAAACAGAGTTTATAGTACTTCCCAGGAGAGTCTGAAGATGTTTATGGGAGCCTGGCGCAGGGGCACATACGTTGAATCCCAGCACTCAGGAGGCTGAGGCAGGGCAATTGCCCTGAGTTTGAGGCCAGCCTGGGCTACACGGTGAAATTTCTTTTTAAATTTAGAAACCTTCCATCAAGTCATGCTCCTGGTAGGCAGGCTGCTGGAGGATGAGGCCACCCTCGGCCAGTGTAGGGTGGAAGCCCTGGCCACTCTGGAAGTAGGTGGCCGAATGGTTGGAGGTAAAGTCCATGACTCCCTAGCCCAGGCTGGAAAAGTAAGAGGTCAAACTCCCAAGGTGGCCAAACAGGAGGAGACAGGCCCGGCCAAGCAGCGGATGCACTATAGCCAGCTCTTTGTCAACACTGTACCCACCTGTGGCAAAAAGAAGGGGCCCCATGCCAGCTCTTAAATCCTACAGAATCCTGGCTTTCTTTAATAAATCCACTTTGCCCGGGCCAAAAAAAAAAAATTAAAAATCTTCCTCTCTGAAGAATTCTGTATGTGGTCTGAGAGAATGTTTAATAAATACTTGAGGAAGTACTTGAAGTCATATCAAACCATGTTAACTTCTTTTGTTGTCATTTTTATTTTGCTAAATTGCTTAAAAATAGAGATATTCAGTGGTGCTGCTGTTCTTCCTCATTTTTCCCTGAACTTCTCAAGCCCTCCTCTAAAGAGAGGAACAAATTTTGAGGGGTTTGTATGGGAATTTTTTTTTCCCCATTTGGTGCTGGAAACCAAACCCAGGGCCTCATGTATGCTAAGCATGTGCTCAACCATTGAGCTACACCCCCATCCCAGTCCAAATATATATATTTAAGAGTAGGAAAATTTAGTGGAAAGCAGGAGTAGCTCCTGAGAGACAGGAGGAGTCCTGAATGGGTTGCCCCAGTCCAAATATATTTTTACAAATACTTCTTTTTTTTTAAAAACAGGGTCTCACCATGTAGTTCAGGCTGTCCTTGAGTTCACTATGTAGCCCAGAGCACCCAAATGTCTCTGTCATTATCACCACTTGTTCTGTCCTAAGGCACTGGAAGGTTTAGCAACAGTGACTCTGGACAGCAGCAATTCCAGGGCAGGGTGGGCCACAAACCTGGGGGAAGTGATGGGGCCCCCGAGAGAATCTTTTGAAAGTGCCTCCTTCACTTCAGGATCACTAGTCTGGCATTTTGGTTTGATTAATTAGTCACAGAGGATGTAGCATAAGTTGTGGAGCATTAATTAGTACAAGGCAAACACCAACACAATGCATAAACAAATAATTCAAAATAATTAGCATTAATTCCCTGAATGTGTAACTGCCACCATAAATAAGGAAGTTCAAAATACCATGCTAAATTTGTGACTTTCCCTTTTAATTGCATCTGCCACCTGGTGTTAATTTGAAACAAATTAAACCCTAAAGGCAGCATCCAAAAGTAAGACTAAGCAGATTCCACCTGTGGGCAAAAATGAGACAGCAGCCTTGTTCCTCTTCCAAAAGGGTGGCCAGCTTCTCCTGGGCTGTCTTCTGTTTAGGGAGCGGCCTCAAGAAGCCAGAGGGCGTGCTGCCATGGGACAGCCAACTGCTGGCCACCACAGGGAATTCGTGTCTCCTTGGAGTTCTTCACCAGTGCTGTCCTCCATACACATACGATCACTGGTTTTTAATTTCCTGGTGGCCACATAAAAAAGTAAAATGAAATAGATCCAATTGGTTTCGATGACATATTTAACCTGATGCTGTGTGTGGGCATGGTGTGTTCTCCTATGTGCTGGAATCTCGGTCCCAGAGTGGCGGTGTAGAGACGGTGGAGCCCCAGGAAGACAGTCAGCTCCCAGGGCACTGCCCTGGTCTCGGGGAGTAGTTTAGCTCTTACAGCAACAGGTTATCGAGGGTTGGGAATGGTGAGGCCCTAGGTTCCATCCCAGCAACAGTGAACACCTCTGTAAGAACCTACTGATTGTTGCAGGGCTGGAACTAGCCTAATTGTTCTTCAGAAAGAAACAAACTGGGAATCATCTATATGAATTGCAGAAGAAGCCCAAATTCATATATAAAAATAGAACAAATTTCAAAAATAAAGTGAGGTCAGGCGTAGTGGCTCACATCTGTAATCTCAGCAATCAGCAGGGTGAGGCAGTAGGATGCCAGTGAGTTTGTGGAGCGTATTTTTCTGATGATACTGTTGTTGTTAAAATGTATTGGCGACTTCAGAGAAAGGACCACTGCCTTATAACCAATCTCTCTTGAACCACACAGAACCACGCCGGGCAAGCGGCCTGCAACTGAAAAAGAATTTAAAAAGTGATTTTTAGAATGAACTTTTCCATCCTCTATATATTTGTGTATTTTCATACTAATGTCTATTACTCCTATTCCTCTATACTACTGTGTACATATGGTTTTAGTTTTATTGGGTTTTTTTTTTTTTGGTTTTAGATTTTTGAAACAGGATCTCACTATGTACTCTAGGTTGGCCTTGAACTTGCTGTGTGGCCCAGGCTGGCCTTGAAATTGTGATTTTCTTGTTCCCTCTTAAGTGCTGAAATTAGAGGCATGTGCCACCACATCCAGCTGTGATCGATAGCTTTTTGTTTTAATTTTAGCTTATCCACTGATTGTACTGTTTTTTTGTTTGTTTTTGTGAATAGAGCTCCTCACTTATTTTGTATTCTATTTGTATTTTACATTTGTATTTTCTGTGTCTGAGCTATTACAAGTCTGTTTGTTGTTATTTACTTTGAACCACTAGAGTAGGTATATTTATTTGTGCAGATTGAGAACTTCAAGGCCTTCAGGAGCGCTATTCATAGTGATGATCTTGTACACTTGTGTATGTATTATGATATTCTCCCAAAGGATGGGAATAAAATGCCTTCCCTAACAAATTGAGTATATTTTGACAGTTTTCCAATGGAAAGAAGTAAAATGACCTTAGAAAAGAGGTCTTTTCTCACCGGCATGAAGATCTGGCTCCATTATGATTATAGCCTTTGGCTTTAGACCAACCTGTATTTGGATCCTGCTCCTGCCAGAGATGTGTGGTATCAGGTTATCTCTTCTAATATTTTTATCTGTAAAATGGGATTAATACTACTCATTTCAGCCTAAAGTATCATCTAGGATTCAGATGAAGTAATATATATGACTCATTTGTCATAGTGTCTGACACCTACTGAGTCTTTAGTGAACTATAGTTAAATTGATCATGCTCGTTTCCACTGGAGCTGGTTTCAATATAGTAGCATGCAATAATAAAATTATGTCTGAGATGGTTTGCAATTAGGGAAGAGATTTGATTGAAAGACTGGCTTAGTATTTTTTTTAACTGATTGCTTTTAATTTAAGGACTGCTGTGTTTTATTCAGCCTTTCTTCTTAGGAAGAGTAGTAAAGTTAGTATTGAGCCAATAGGGTAAAGATTTGGTTAGAAGAAAAGAATGAGGGATAAGCTTGAATCCATAGTCTCTGAAGGGATCTTGAAGATGTACTTGTTAGTGTGCTGCCTGATATGGACTAAGTCAGTGACAGGCTAATGAATTACTGTGCCACCACTTCTCTTCCTGGTTGGCAATTGAATTCAAGGCTTTGCTTATGCTAAGAAGATATGCTCTTTCTGAGCTGAAATCCCAGCCTCAGCTTCTTAATGATGAGGAAACAGGAAAAGAAAAGAACCAAGGTGAATTTATTGTTCACTTTTGAGTGGAGAGTGATTAATAAAATAAAACCAGAGTTAGGCTGTGATATATTAGCAATTGTCATTCATTTTGGTCTTTTAAATTTCCTTAGTGAGTGAGATCAAGAAGAATATGAGCACATCCTTGTGGGGTGGGAGTATTTTTAAGAAGGGCGGTGTGGGAAGTTGATTTTTAGCATAATAATTTTCCATTTCAGAAAAAAAGTTTTAAACTGATGGTATCCTGATCTGGAATGCAGGGCTAGTACAAAATAATTCTGCTGCTTTTCTGTTTAAGTGTTGAAGAAAACAGATATATCTAACACATTAAGAAGTTGTGGACTGAAAAAATTGAAACCAAAGGGCCAAATAGCCTAATGTTAGGATTCCAGCATCAACATTTTTTGGATTAACCCCACTAAATTAGGATGTCTAGTTTAGTGATAGAGCTATTTCCTAGCATGTGTAGGGCCCCAAGTTCAATCCCACGTACCACAGGAAAACAAACAATAAAAACTAAAATTATAGTGAATTAGTTGGGTTATTTACATATTGGTTAGGTCCATATAGATACTCAAACTAGGTCCCCATCACAGCAAAAAAAGCCAAAACCAAACCAAACCAAACCAAACAAAAAAACTCTTGAATTACTCTGGGTTGTTTAAACATTGCTTAGGTGCTTGTCAGTAATCAAACTAGGTAATTGTTTTACTGTAAGCCCAACTAGAATTGTACACTTCACTCATTACTACTTTGAATATGGTAACCTTCAATTTAAAATTATATAAAAATTATATAAAATGATAACCAACTGTCCCTTTTATTTTCTCTGAGGGCAAATTAAGAAGTGAATTTAAACTGTTAGATCATTCCAGGCCTTTGTGATTTTTTTTTTTTTCCTGGCCTCTACCATTAAACGTTTTAAAACAGTGAAATGGTTATGGACTCCTCCCTGAAACTCTTCCTGGAAGATAAAAGATAATTTGAGGTAGTGTAGATTGGACTTGCATTTTGGAGTAATGACTTAGGTTGCCTACAGATTTATTCAGCATATACAGAAGTTACTTATTTAGCAGGTAGTGGATAAACTAGTAAATTCTATAAACTAGAACTTTTAGAATTTGTCAGATGTAGAATATAAGTTATAAATGAAGTCCTGGTCTCAGAAGAGGACATAAGTCCTTGAAAATAATATTCTAATGAACGTGCATGTGATTATTTCCAAATGAATGATTCAAAGAAGGTCACTCGGGGCAGTAGAAGGCATCCAGGGGACCCATTGGATTAAGATTGAAGAGAGGTGAAAAGGTAGCAGCCTGGCAGAAAACAAGATGTGAACAAAAGAAAGTTTTCTGCAATTTTAGTTTTTAGTATTTGTTCTGTCTCATTGCTTTGATTTTCTTCTTCAGGGATTCCTGTTATTTAGTCTTATTTCTCTTCAGTCTTTTTTCTCTTTCTTCATTGGATGTATATATTAGTCTCTTTTTCATTACTGTAACAAAATATCTGGAGTTGTGTAATATATAATGAAAAGAGGTTTATTTCACAGTTCTGGAGGTCCAAGGAGATGGTACTGGCATGGGCTTGACTCGGTGAGGACCTTACTGAAGATGGCAGGAATGTGTGTGTGGGAGCATTTGGGAGAAAGAGAGGTCATACAGTGAGATAGGAAGCCAGATAGTGGGAAGAGGCCAGTCTCACTCTTTAATAAAAGACAACTAATTCCCTCTTATAGAACTAACTGGGGTAACATATTCATGATGTGGCCGTAATTTGTATGTCTTGCTGCTCTGGCGGCTCTGAACCTCCAGTGGTACGTGTACAGAATGCCTGTTCCATTGGGCAGCATGAGATTGTCGTGTATGAACCAATGATTCAAGCTGGCAGGAATGTGTTACCCCTTCCAAGACAGCACTTCTAATGGTCTCTTATTAGGTTCTGTCTCTTAAAGTTTCAACCACCTCTCACATTCCAACACTGAGGACTGGGCTTTTAGCACATGAACTTTTGAGGGACAGCCCACAACTAAAATTTCCTCCTTTTTATCTTCTATTTTCTCTTAAAACATTTTCTATATTAACTCTTTGTTCTTGGATTCCTTCTGGTTTACTCCTTTTTCCTGAAGTGATTTTAAATTTTATTCTATTTCTGTCTTAAGTGTTGTTACCTCATATCTGAGATTTTATAATTGTGAAATTTTGTTTGTTTGTTTTTAAATAGTAGGCTACCGTCTTACTGTTTTGTGTGTCTTTGGTGTGCTTTGTTTGTATGTTGGGATGTTATTCTGCTCCTTACTTAACTATTTTTACTCCTAATAATACAGTAACTGTATGGAATTTGCCTTTGATACTTTTCTGTTGTTTATTTTGATGTCATAGTTTCTCAGAAAATTTAGGAGACAAGATTCAGGATAGCTTTTCTACCATGTGTTTTCTTGTCGTTTCTAAAAACATGGTCACTCCTTTACTTGTTTGTAGGTGCTTCCTGTGTTCTGTATTCCTGGTTTTGCTATCTAGTCGTTCTATCTTATGTGAAGGACAAAAACTATGCCCTTATTGCTGGAATTGTAGAATTTCTTAATTGTTGTCATCTTAATGTATTTAAGAAAATTTTATTTAAAGAAATTGAGTTTTTTCCTTTAAAAATAATCTCCACAGAGGAAGAGGAATTGGGATACAGAATACCCATCCTTTCCAGAAGAGAGGCCACTGCAATCCCAAAGAACGGGTCTCAGGACAGTGGGAGCAGCTGCCTCTCTATCTGAAGCGTGGCTCAAATGTGGAGAAGGATTTCAGGATACTTCTGGGAATCAGGTAAAAGAGGTAAAATTGTTTTCCCTGAATGCACATAGATAAAACCTAAAATTCCTGAGGCCATTGTAATTACATTTCTTTGGAATTCTCTTCCTTTTCTTTCAGAACACTATAATTGGTACAGTATCTTTTCTCATTCCTTGAATTCCTTTAATAATTGTGGCAAGTTAATATTCAATCTCTTTATGCCATGTAGAAGCTTTCTACTTTTGTAAATGAAGGATATATACTGAGAATGTTCTCAGAAGATGAAATCATTTAGCATACTTTTTTTTATAAGAAATATATTTTATGAAATGTTTATATATTCAGAATCTTTTGGGTATGGAATTCTGGTTAATTTTTGTAAATGTGGTAACTTATAATATAGAGGAATGGTGTCTTAAACTAAAGAATGTGGGTACAGGTAGTAATTAGGACCACATAAGTGGTCAAAGTCATATAGATGAACAGTAACTTTGAATGTTTTGATCAATTGGCTTTCTGTTTAGAATCTGGAATAATGTAAAACTAAATTTACAAGTATATAAGGAGTATGTGTTTAAGGACTACTTATATTGGTAAATATAAGTAAAGCAGAATATAGTTTAATACTAAATATTTTATAAAATATTGTTAGTAAATTACATTATTATTTTATCTGCAGTCATTGATAGCTGAAAAGGCAACTACTACAGGAAAGCACCTTGAATTTTCTCCAAGACCGCAAAAAGGTACTATTACTTTATTTCTTAACAGAGACAGTATAAGGCTATGTATGTGTGCAAGTATGTGTGTGTTTTATTAGCATTTTAAAAGTTAATTACAGAGTTTGAGGAGACTGTATTCATAGTTAAAAACATCACAATAATGTAAAAATATTTTTGAGAATGTGTTCTCTCGTATATGTCGTTATCTATTCCACTCTTCCTATCCCCTATGGGTAATTATTAACATTCTTTGTGTGTCAATACTGGATTCACTTTTATCATAGAACCCAGGTTAGTTCAGGCTCATAACTCCAGGGCTTAACAAAAAAGGCCCTCGGTTTGACCATTAGCACTGAAAAAGAAATTCATTTGGAAAATAAACTTATTATCTGTACTTTAGGAATTGTATTACTTTAGGTTATGAAATTCTTACCTGGTGAGTTAGGGAAGCTTTCTAGCTACAAATATTAGGAAACTGTCTAAATGCTGAAGGTTGAATTTATCTTCTGCAACAAGACTCCCAGAGAGCCCTGCTCATTCTGAGCTCTGCAACCTTAGTGTGGTGGTAGCTGTTATGTGTTGTAAGTAGCTGAATTCTCCAGGTTGAATTCTCTGGAAAAAACTGGTGCTAAGGATTTTTAGCAAGTGAACTTTGCCTTTCTTTGAGAGGAAATAACCTTGTGCAGGACTTCTATCTTTGGCCAGAACCTTTACAAAGAGTCACTTCTACTAAAGACAGTTTAGTGAAATTAGGGATTTTCTTACACTGGTATGCTGCTGCCAATGAAATTGGGGTTAGTAGAAATGAAAAAGACTGTGCACGGTTAGTCAAATACCCAGTGGGTGTGCATGAAGAGTGGGGACTTGTGGCTGATGGATTTCACTATGTCCTGACTATAATCTTGGGAAAACAGGCTAACCATTTTGAGCTTCAGTTTCTGCATCTGGAAAATGGGCACAATAGCATGTGCTTCACTGATTATAATGAATATGCTAACCAATAAAGTGGTTCAGATGCTTACCCTTAGTAGGTGTTTAATTGATGGCAGCAATTGCTGTTACCTCTGCTGGCCAAAAGAACTACAGTATGTGAGAGCCTGCCTAAAGTTCTTCTGTGGAGCAGAATAACTTTCTGTGATTACGAAACTAAACATCCTCAGCCATATTATTATTTCACTAACACTTAAGAGGGTTCTATTCTATGCAAATGAATAAAATACCCCAAAATATTTCTTGAAAATTCATAAAACACTGGCTTATAGAATAAGCTGGCACAGATCTTTTTATAATATGATAATCTTCTGATAGAATTGCAAAGTTTTATTTTTCTTTTGTTTTGGTGCTGGGGATCAAACTTGGGACCTTGCGCTTGCGAGGCAGGAGGTGGAACCACTGAGCTAAATCCCTGGCCCTACTTTTCTTCTTAGAAGTACCAAATACTGTGATATTCAAGGATAATTTAATTCTGATTTTAAAATTTGATTTTAATATATGGGGAAACTATTTTTTCCTTAGACAAATTGTCTTATTTTTTTCTAAGATTTAAAAGAAATAGTAAATTCAGGTTTGAGAGAGAGAAACATTTTAAATAAGTTACTATCTTGTATTTAAGTACAAAAGGATCTTTTGCGATGATTTCTCCATGCCAGTCATGTCACACACTGCTATACTTTTGACTTTACAGAATGATCAATTTATTGTCAAAGAGTGACAAAGCTTGTACCAATGTATAATTTCTTTATAGCATACACAGAAAGTATTGTTAATTACTTGATAAAGGCCTACCAATAAGAAAAAGGAGGTATGGTATTTTTAGAGCTGGTTCACATTTAGAACAGTAGCTCCTTGAGCCAGGCATCATGGTGGCAAATGCCTTAATCCCAGCACTCTGGAGACTGAGGCAGGAGGAGGCCAGCCTGGGCTGTGTAGCCAGACCTTGTCTCAAAAAACAAAGAAACAAACAAACTAATCCCCCAAACCAAAAACAAAGCAATAGTAGCTCCTAAAGTATTTAAGATAGGCTATTGATAAAAATTCCAAGATAAAAATTTTATACCACATTTAAAGTGAGGAGGTACTATTTTTATGAGAGCTAGGAAGCAGAATTGGGGAATATGCTTTTGCAAAGTATGGATAAGGTCAAATGCTTGTCTCCATGTCTTTGTTTCCTCATCTGTTAGGCACGAATAAGAGAAAGCTGAGAAGGAAGAGTTAATAAAGGAGATGGAAAGGAAAGGAATAAGATAAGCTAGCACATGAATGTTGGCAAAGGATGTTGCCAGAGGCTCAAGGAAGAAAAAGATAAAAAGATGAAAAGAGTCTGGAACATTTGTAGATAGTGATTTTCTTTAAAAGGCAGGATTTAAAAGAAAAAAGAACAAAGTATTTACCAAGCAAAATGAAAGGGGAAAGAAAAAAAGGAATTTGTGTTTGTTTAGTTTTTCTTCCCCCCTTGATATACCCTACAGGGTATTTTCTCAGAAATCTTTGTTGATTCAGGTCAGAAATCTCCTGCCCCTTGAGGACATTACCAGGGTTTTATTATTTGTTGATCTTCTTTTCTTCCCATTGGATCATTGCCTTCTCAAGGACAGATCCCTCTCTTGCTCATCTGTGTATCGCAAGTGTATTTGTTTCCAAGGGCTGCCATAATAAAGTACACAAAGTTGGGTGGCTTAATTAATAAAAACTTACTGTCTCAAAGTCCTGGAGACCAGATGTCCCAAATGAAGGCATTGGCAGGGTTGGTTCCTTTTAAAGGATATGAGGGAAGGTTCCAGACTTTTGCCTTGGCTTGTCAGTGGTATCTTCACATTGTCTTCCCTCTGTGCCTGCCTGATTTTGTCCCAATTTCCCATCTTCTAAGAACACCAGCCATCTTGGATTAAGTTTTCAGTTTAAACCTGATTAAACCTCAGTTTAACTCGATTATCTCCATAAAGACCCTATTTCCAGGGCCGGGGATTTAGCTCAGTGGTTTCGCCGCCTGCTACCCAAGCGCAAGGACCCGATTTCAATGCCCGGTACCAAAAAAAAAAAAAGACCCTATTTCCAAATACAGTCCCATGCCAAGGTATGAATGAATTCAACAAATATATTTTTTGGGGGTGGGGCACAATTCAGTTTATAACACCAGCTACTAGCACAGTACCAGGCACACACAGTGAGTATTCGGAAATGTTTATAACTGCACGGTAACTATTTTCACAGTCTGGCAGATATCCTTCCTAGAATATCATTGGGATGGGCCTTGATCTCAAGAGCACTCATTTTCAGAAAGCAAGTAAAATGAGTTGCTGCCTAATCAATTTATAGTAGTGGGTTTAACTAAGTTGTGCAGTTAAGTGTTTATACTTCATAGGTTTACAAATCTAGGTTCTGGTCTCTGAGAATTTGAATGACATAGCTATTAAGTATTCTATCTCTTAATACATGGCACAGAAGTACCCGACAGTTACATCTTTCCTAGGAGTTTCACACTAAGCTAGTGGTGAGACTGGAGGTCTTATGCTACCTTAGGACCTTTGCTTCATGGTTTACAACATGGACTCAGAAGGGACTGCCTGAGTGTGAATCTAAACTACAGCTGCTGGGCAAACAAAGGAAGCATTGTAATGACTTATAACCTAGTAGATGTAAAAGTTGACGCATTCACCTAAATAAAAAGGGAAAAAGTGTGGTCAAAATTAAAAACTATATACACAATGTAAAATCTAGAAAAATAAAGAGACACAGTTTACAGCACAAAGGCTGATCTTTCGGACAGAGTAATTAGAAACTAATAGAGGGAGAAAAGACAATTATTATAGAAATAAAGATTTTTTAATAGACTGCAGAAAAGCAAATGTAAATGATTTCCGAACATATGAAAAGATGCTCAGCCTTACCTATAATAGAAAGGCATAATTAAACTACATTGAGAGATTTTTTTTTTTCATTAGATCATCTACTCTAAGTGTATGTCCTTCTGTTTGTTCTAGTCTTCTTTTTATGGTCTTTTGAAGTCTTTAACAGAGTTTCTTCATTTAGATTTACATGTCTTTTAGTTCTAGATATTTTACATTTTTTAGCTATTTTAAATTTTGTTTCTGGGTGGTTTGAACCTTGTTATCTTTATTCAAGTTTCTTATTATTGGTAGTAGTTTCAGTTGACTTCTTTAATTTTCCACGAATTAATTTTGTGATCTACAGATTGTGATAACTTTACAGTGTTACCTCACTTCATCAATGCTTTTGTTTGCAAACAGTTTGGTTCACAAACAAGCATTTGGCAAAATTTTTGTTTTTGTTTGCAAAGTGCATTGGTGACCAACATGATTGAGGCCATCTTTCCCACATAAACAGAAATGTGGCCATCTTTTCCAAAATTGTAGAACAAAGTACCACTGTGTTTCCTTTTTTGTTTACTTTCAGATTCACAGTGAAAGTGATAATGTCTTTTGTAAACAGGTTTACAGCTTAGGGTTTTTTTTAGCTATTTAAATAGATATGGATTCTTAGTCTATTCTGAATATTTTATTTTTTCTTTTGTATCTTGAAGGATAGACCAGTTCAGTAGATGGCTATGGCACAAACTCAGTGTTCAGCAAACATGGATTATTTTGTACTTTTGTGCCTTTGTAAGTGATGTTTCCCTAAACATCATCTTGTCAGTGAATCTTCCTTTCCTGAACCACGCAAGTAGAACATTCATTTTTCTGTGGCACTATTATGCCATGACATACAAATTTTTCTTTCCATGATTAGTGTTTCTTTTCAGATCATACATTTCTTTAGGGCAGGAGTATTTTTTTTTTTTTGGTACCAGGGATTGAACTTGGAACCTTGCACTTTCGAGGCAGGTGCCGGAACCACTGAGCTAAATCCCCGGCCCGGGAGTAATTTTTTTTTTCCTCATGATTTACTATATTGATTCTATAAATATGTATCGAATGAAACTGCTTAACTTCTGAGCCTGTTTTCTTTAAAACATGAATTCTAAGCTGGGGATTTAGCTCAGTGGTTCTGCTCCCTGCCTCGCAAGTGCAAGGTCCTGAGTTCAATCCTTGGTACCAAAAAACCCCCCAAAAACATGAATTATAAATATATATCTTTTACACTATATAAAATATGCTTTGAAATTTAAAAATTTGTCATTTCCACAATGGGTTGGATAAGATTCATACGTGTTTGGTTTTTTTTTTTTTTTTTTTGGTATCAGGGATTGAACTTGGGTCCTTGTACTTGCAGGGCAGGCAGCAGAACCACTGAGCTAAATCCCTGGCCCATCTTTTTTTTTTGGTACCAGGGATTGAACTTGGGTCCTTGTACTTGCAAGGCAGGCGCTGGAACCGCTGAGCTAAATCCCTGGCCCAAGATTCATATGTGTATGTCTATATATCTTATTCTTAGCATTATAGCTATAATCATCAATATAAATAGTGTGACTTTTATTAATTATGTATTTATTTCTCTTCTGATCAGTATCATAAATGTTTACTGTTGACTTCTGATTCTGCTAAGATGTAGTAGCTCCATTCTATGTCTTCTACCTATCAAAATGACTGAAATAAAGATAGTAGTAACAACAAATTCTAGTGAAAGAAGTTGTAGAGAAACTGAATCATTAACACATTACTGGGGGACTGCAAAATAGTACAGCCACTCTGTGGCAGGTTCTTGTAAGACTAACATGCAAGTACCATACCTCTCATCAATTCCACTCTTAGGGCTTTATCCCAGAAGGTGAAAATAACATTTTCATAAAGTCTTAGCTGGGTGTGGTGGTGCATGCAAGTAATCCTGTCGCTCTGGAGACTGAGGCAGGAGAATCACTGTGAGTTCAAGGCCAGTCTGGGCTACATAGCAAGACTGTCTGGAAAAAAAAGCACAAAAAACAAAAATAAAAATACCCAAAACTCTTATACACGATAAGTCACTATTCACAATAGCCCAAACTGGAAACAAAACATATCCTTCAATAGGTGAATGGTTAAATAAACAATGACATCTATACCAAGGGGTACTGTTTAGTAACTACTGGTACACATGATAACTTGGATGAATGCCTGGTAAATTATGCTGAGTGAAAAAAATCCTCAAATGTTACATATTTCGATTTCATTTAACATTCTTGAAATGACAAATAGGAATGCAAAACTGATTAGTGGTTGCCTAGAGTCAGATGTGTGTATGTGTATGTGGCAGGGGAAGTTAGTGTGGCTATAGAAAAGGAACACAAGGCATTTTGTGTTGATAAGATTGTTGTGCTCTTGACTGTATCAGTGTCTGTATCCTGATTGTAATAATTACACTATAGTTTTGAGAGATGCTGCCAATTGGAGGAACTTGGTGAAGGATACAAGGGCTCTTTATTTGTTAAAAGTATGTGAGGGCCGGGGATTTAGCTCAGTGGTACCGTGCCTGCCTTGCAAGCACAAGGTCCTGAGTTCAATCCCTGGTTCCGGAAAAAAGAAAAACAACAGCTATATGTGAATCTGCTGTTGTGTCTAAATAATACGTTTATTAAATACAGAAGTTTGTTCTTAAGTATTTAAAGCACTCTGCTACTATCAGGGCTCTTAGCATGGCCAAGGAAATGCACAAAGTGTTTCTGGTATTCATATTTATTGGTTTTGAGGTTTGCTTTGTGTTTGTTTTTCTTTCAGTTTCATTAAATATTTTAGGAAATTATAGCTCTATAGTTGTTATTTCAAGTCTTATTTTTCCAGTTCTATTTCGCTTTTGTGTTCCAGTCATTTTTTTTTTCCTTTTATAACTTAACTAGTTCTACTTTTTTTTTCTTCTTGTAATTTGACTTTAATTCAAAGAATTCTTTTTTTTTCACTTTTCTTTTTTGGTAGTGGGAATTGAACCCAGGGCCTCACACTTGCTGGGCAGGGGCTGCGCCGCTGAACTACATCCCTGGCCCATAATTCAAAGAATTCTTGCAAGAATGGGTATGGAAGATTAGACAGGAAGATTGGACATGTGACATTGTTTTCACTATCTTCAGTGTTATATATTTTTGTGACTTTGGCAAATATGCATAAAATCTCATTATGATAAATGACCATATCCACTGATGATAATTTATGTGTTTTCTTTTTCTCTAACAGAAACTGCCACATATAAGGGTATCAGTGAGCTTACAGATATAACATGGAGTTCCAGTGGAAGTGATCTGTCAGATGAAGATAAGATACTTTCTAAATCACAGAAAGATAATGGACATGGCTCTAGAATAGACAGATTTTGTAACAGGAATATTTTAGGTCCAGAAGATGGGGCCAGTGAAGGTAAATTACTAATTTTGTAAGAAATCTAGTTTTGGTTAAATACTAGGTTCAATATTAGAAGAAACTTATATTCCTTTTATATATTTGTAATTGTGATTTTTCTGAGTCCCAGCCTCATTGCTAAGCCCTTTAGAAAAATTTTCTCAGTTAATATTTTCACAACTCTTAATAGGGAGGCATTACTGGTATTATTTTTACTCTTAACAACTTAGGCTGGGACTTGTTAGAATTGGTTGGAATTCCATTTTCGTTCTCTTTGGTGCCAGAGCCAGTTCTTGCAGTTTCCACATATTGCTGCAGTCATGCTGCCTTCTTGTAAACTTGTCATTGAATACTGTGACAACCAATGTGTGGAGGAAGTATAACTTATTAACAAGTTCCTATGCTAATGGCATCTTTTATTATGTCATGTTTTAGACAGTTTAAAACAGGGCTTTTTATTCTTGACACTCTTGCCATTTGGAGCCAGGTAATTCTTTGCTGTGGGGAGAACTTTCCTCTGCATCCTATGTAGGATATTCTGCAGCATTACTGGCCTCTGTCTGCTGAATTACAGTAGTAACCCCAACCAGACTTTTAACGCTCTAAAATGTTTCTAGATGTTACTAGAAGTCCCCTGAAGGACAGAAATCACCTCCAGTTGATAACTACATATGTATTATTATGGAAAGTATATCCTTTTCTAAATTTTAAAAATACTTGGGAGTATTTAAAAGTCTTAATGCTTTCAAAGTAAATTTGTAATTTTTTGTTGTTGTTGTTTTTAGAGACAAGGTCTTACTATGCAGTTCAGGCTGGCCTTGAACTCACTATATATCCAAGGCTGGCCTCAAACTCACAGTGATCCTCCTGGCTCAGATTCCTGCTGGGATTATAGGCATATGTCACCATGTCTGGCTTAAATTTGTAACTTAAGTGATTGTTCACAGTTAGTCACTCAGTCTAGGTTAGATTTGGACAGATAACCTCTCAGGGAGGTGGTTAAATTCCTTTGATCAGTTTGTATCCATTTTGGTAACTACCGTTAACATTTTAGTAGGTATTGGGTGAAATGGTATTCTAAGTTTATATATAAACTGATAATGCTAATGTTATTAATTCAGCCATATTAATTGAAAATCATTGTGATATAATTCTTAGTTTGTATCACATATCTCAGAATACAGTTTCAATATTAAAAATTGTATGCTTTTAAAAATAGTATGGTATATGATTTATTTTTCAATAAACCCTGTATTAAATAAAAACTATGTTGTCCTCTTCTATTAAAAGATATTGTACAGCTTCCAAAACTGATTTTAAATGAAAAGATGCTTTGGTCTAATTACCTTAACATGAATTCACAAATGGTTGACTTGTCTTTCCAAGTCAGTTCTTAGAGAACAAGTAGATGATCCCTTGGAATATATGTAATCATGATTACAGCTTCTGGATTAGTTTTCCTTCCCTCCTCCTGCTCTGCTTCTCTCTACTCCCCTACTCACTCCTCTCTTCCTTTTTACATTTAATGAATGACACCTGTTATCATTTATCAGGATTTTATTTTATCCCAGACACTTGGCTAATTTTATGTACGTTATTTCCTTTGAAATTTACTATGTCCTATGAGCTAAATATCCTCAGAAGAAAATTGAAACTTAGAAAAGTCAAGTCAGTAGCTGGGTGTGGTGGCTCATGCCTCTAACCCAGCACTTGGGAAGCTGAGGCAGGAGGATTGCCATGAGTTTGAAGCCAGTCTGGGCTACATAGTGAGTTCAAGACCAACATGAACTACATAGTGAGACTCTCTCAAAAAACTTAAAAAAAAAAAAGTCAAGTTACTTGCTCAGTCACATCCTTAATAAATGTGCCAATTGGTATTAAAATCCAGTGAGGTCTAATTTCAGTGCTGTGTGGTGGTTGCCAAAACTACATCATAGCAGAATTACCTTTTAAAACTATATCTAGTCTTTCTTGTAGAATTAGAGTCTCTTGGCTATGAGACCCAGAATTGGGGTCAAGAAGCAAAGTCCTTAGTTAAAATTGTCAAAATACTTTTAAGTATTTTACCCACTCTCTATTTGATTTTTATATAACTTTGGTAAAATCTCTTAACTTATTGGAAACCGTTTTCTCATCTGTAAAATGTACATTTCAATCTAATAGTATTTATATTCTTCCTTCAAAAAAGTATTATGGCCAAAGGAAATCCTTATCTTGTCTGTGGTATATAATTTTGTAACACTCACTGTATTGTGATGTTATTCATCTGTGGGTTACTGCAGGGAAGGAGTAGTGCTGTTTTCTCTTTTGTATTTGTCTATTTTGTAAGTGTCTAGATTGGTATAATGGGCCCTTAGTAGGCACTTTATTGGATAAATGAATGAATGAGTGCTACACAGTATGCAACGCTGGCAGCAGCTCTGAGGGCATGTGTACTCTTTGTTTAGCTCTCCTTGGCTTCAGGCTGTGATGGTTCAGCAATTGGAGTATTTCTCATGCATTCCCTTGGCTTGTTCTACGACTAAATGTGAAGTTAGATGTGGGAAGTAAGTGCCCTTATGCATTTACTTCTCTCAGTAGTGGTCTGACCTCCAATCTTTTATAATAACTATAGTGGATTTTTACTGTGTCTTCTGGAACAGCAATATTAGATTAAAGAAGACTTGTTTTCTTCATATTTTAGCTTTAGTTTAATTTTTTCATTTTTAAAAATTTAAATTCTTTTTTTTTTTTTTGGTACCGGGGATCGAACTTGGGACCTTGTGCTTGCAAGGCAAGCACCGGAACCACTGAGCTAAATCCCTGGCCCAAAAATTTAAATTCTTTTCAAATAAAATATTAGTACTTTTTTCCCTTTTTAATATTATTTTACTTTACTGGAAGTGAAATTATTACTATCAGACCTCTGAAAGTAGATGATATCTTAGCCTTCTGAATTGCAGAAGTAGTTGTTAGGGAGTACTTGTCCTTTGTGTTCTAGGAAAGGTTTCTATTATGTATCATACCTCAGAGACTAATAACTAATTTTGTTTATTTGAATATAGCAAATAAGAATCAATACATTTGGTTATTTAATGTATGAAAATAATTTAGCTTACTGAGTTAAAATTTTATAAAACTTTAGTGGTTTTCTTACCAATGAGCTCTGTAAAAAAATTATTGGATAAAGACATTTGGAAAAATCATTTTTAATAGAGGACTGTTTAAATATATACCATAGTTCAACTGAACCAGGGATGTAGCTCAGCAGTACAGCGCCTGCCTGTCAAGCACAAGGTCCTGAGTTCCATCCCCAGTACCAAACAAAACAAAACAAAACCCAAAAACTATAGTTCAACTGTGCAACAGAATATTAAGTTGTAGAAAAGAATGAGGATATACTGATGAGTAAAAAAACAATTAATTTAAAAAATCAAGATGTGTAAGAAAAGAGGAAAAAACAATTTATATCATTTTAAAAAACATCCTGGAAAGCTACAAGGATTAAAAGATAACCAATAAAAGTAAATTTAGAACTGAGGTATGAGTGGGTAGGGAGAAACTAGGGATATGAGAAGGAATATACTTTTTGCTGCCATATTTTAAAAAATCACCCAGTAACATAGATATGGTAACTACTGAGAATAAAATATAGATTTTAAAAAAGAAATATCGGATATAAATTAAGTTAAAATTGTATTTTTTAGATGAATTACAATTTATTGACTGGGAGATCGACAGTGACAGGGAAGATGGTAGTGAATGTAATGAATGTGAAGATGGTGAAGATGCTGTGGAAATCTCAGATTGTGCTTCTTGTGCAAGCTGTCACTCTTTGACAAGTGATGAGAAGCCATCTGAGCTTCCTGAGGTAAGAACTAATTATTTCAAAAACTTAAATCGTCTATAACATTTCTTAATCCTAGCCTTTGGTGTTCCTGCACCTACTCCTCACTCCCTTCTCAGGGACAACCAGGTTTGACTCTTAGTGTTTTCTTTTGTTCTTAACCCCTCTTAGCTCTAAATAACATGCTTGTGCTATATTTATAAACATGGATAAATACTGAGCTCTTTTGTCACCCACTCTCCAGCCCCAATTATGTATAGAACTTTGATTTTTCTTCCATTCTCCAAGTACAAATATATCAAGATTTGGTTAGATTATTAAGCATTTACATAATTGTCAATAATATTGATAACCAAGACAACTATTAATCATTATTTTGTTTCAAATTTTTTGTTTTCCTTAGTAATTAGTTTGGTTTTTTTGTTTTTCTAGTTTTATTTACGATTTATAGAGTCCTAACTTTTTTGTTAAACTTCTCAGACAAAGTAGGCATTCTGCCAGTTCTGTTTTCTTGGAGAACTCCTTTCTTGGAGAAGCCTTAATCTTGTTGCGGCTCCAATTTGAAGAAAATGCCCTCTTCACTTTGTAGATGTTGTCACCCTGGGGTCTCCCTTCACCATCATTTTAGAAATTTGTTGACCTCTCCCCTGCATGGAGTTCCATTTTGTTCTATATTTCATGTTTTCCTCTTTCTTGGTTTTCATACTCACTTTGGTTGAACACATCTTCCAATAGCTTCTGAGAAATGACTTGTGGAAGACTTTGCATGTTGGCAGATGCTTTTATAATACACTGATACGTGATGGAAAATATGTATAGAATTTTAGATTGAGAATTTTCCTTCAGAGTTTTAAAAGCATTGCCTCATTGTCTTTTACCTCAAGAGTTACTGTTAATAAACCTGAAGCTATTCTCATTTGTAATCTTTTTAAGAGTTTATTGCTGGTTTTAAGCAGTTTGATTGTGATATGCCTTGATAAGCTTTTCTGCTTTGTGTTTGTCCCACTTCTCAGATCTGTGGTATTTTGGGAGTCTTCAAAACCAGTAAGACTAATGTTTGTTCTATCTCTCTCTCTCTCTTCTTTCTCTCTTTGTTTCCTTTTGTAGTATTAAGGACCAAACCTGGGGACTCATGCATGCTCAGTAAATTTTTACCACTGAGGCTCATCCCTAACCCCATATTTAATCTTTTTTGTAAATCTCCATTCTAACAAATGTGATGTTTCCGGTGGTTTTAATTTGCATTTTCCTGATGATTAGTGATCATGAGCATTTTTCTTTTTATGTCTGTTGGCCATTTGTATGTCTACAATATAGAGGGTTTTATAAAAGAAACTAAAAAATAGAACTACCATATGACTCAGCAATCTCACTTCTGGTCATGTATCCAAAGGATTTGAAATCATTACACTGAAGAGGTATCTGTACTTCCATGTTCATTGCAGCAGTATTCACCATATTAAGATATGGAAGCAACCTAAGTGTCCAACTTTGAATAAATGGATAAATAAGATGTGGTATATATACATAATAGAATACTATTCAGCCTTAAAAAAAGAAAATTCTGCCATTTGTGACATTAATGAGCCTTGAGGGCATTATACTAAGTAAAGTAAGCCAGATACAAAAAGACAAATGCAGTTTCAGTATTCCTTATCAGAAATGCTTGGGACAGAAGTATTTTATACTTTTTTTTTGGATTTTGGAATATTTGCGTGTGCAACTGAGATACCTTGTGGATAGGACCAAAGTCTAAACATACAGTTGATTTATGTTTCATATATATCTTATACTTACAGCCTGAAGGTAATTTTATACAGTATTTTTAGTGCATGTATCTTTTGATTATAACCCATTGCATGAGACTAGATATGAAATTTTCCATTTGTGTTATGTTGGTTCTCAAAAAGTTTCAGATTTTCAGATTATAGACACAACCTGTATTCCTCTCTTTTTCCCTTTACCTATTCTTCATTTTTATTTTTATTTTTCAGTACTGGGGTTGGAACACAGCTACAGCCCCACCCTTTTAAAAATTGTGAAACAGAGTCCCTTACTAAGTTACCCAGACTGGCCTGAACTAGTGATCTTGCCTCTGCCTCCCTAGTAGATGGAATTATAGGTGTGCACCACTGTGCCTGGCTTTTCCGGGTTTTTTGTACTGGGGATCGAACTCAGGACTTTGTGCTTGCGAGGCAGGTGGCTGCACCACTGAGCTAAATCACTGGCTCTCCATTTTTGTTTGTATCAGGATATTTTATTTCCTCTTTAAAACTTTCTTTGATACATTGATTATTCAGGAGTCAGTTGTTCTTTTGGTACCGGGAATCGAACTCAGGACCTTGTGGTTGTGAGGTAGGCACAGTGCCACTGAGCTACATCCCTGGCCCAGGAGTCACCTTTTTACTGTAGTGTCTTTTATTTTATTTTTATGGTACTTGGGTTCGAACTCTGGACCTTGAGCTTTCGAGGCAGGTGGCAGAACCACTGAGCTAAATCCCAGGCCCCAGGAGTCAGCTTTTTAATTGCCACATCTTTGTGACTTTTTTTTGGTTCTTCCTATTACTGATTTGTAATTTCATCCCATTGTGGTCATAAAAGATACTAGATATGATTTTAATTTTCTTAAATTTGTTATAAGTTTTATGTGAGCTATTCTGGAGACTCTTTTGTGTGCACTTGAGAAGAATATTTTTCTGGGTTTTTTTTCGGTGGTACCAGGGATGGAACTCAGGACGTTGTGCTTGCGAGGCAGGCGGGGTGCCACTGAGCTAAATCCCTGGCCCTTTCTGTTGTTTTTATATGGAATGTTCTGTACAAGGGGTGATTATGAGGAATGTTTAAATAAAAAAATTATTACAGTAAAAGACGCCATTACTTCTCCTTGCTTTGAATAGACTTATCCCATCATTCTTTCCACTTTGTAAAGCAGTTGTAGTTTTCTTCCTTCCTTCCTTTTATTTTTTTTTGGTACCGGGGATCGAGGTCCTTGCACTTACACAACAGTTGGTGAAACTACTGAGCTAAATCCCCGGCCTTGTAGTTTTCTATTGTTTGAGTGTCTTTATGAGGTATGATCAAGAATTTGGTGAATGCACCTGCCAAGAGGTTTTTTTTTTTTGGTACTGGGGATCGAACTTCGGGCCTCGTGTTTTCGAGGCAGATTGCGGAACCACTGAGCTAAATCCCTGGTCCATGCCAAGTGTTATTAATGGAAAGACAGGCTCATAAAAACACAATGGTGTTTCCTTATGCATCTTATCACCAGATTTGGCACCATGTGACTTCGGCATTTTCCCTAAAGTCAAGATGACCATGAAAAGTAAATGTTTTGAATCTATTCAGGACATCTTGGCAGCCAGGACAGGGCAGCTAAAGACCCAAAAGAGAACTTCTAGAACTGCTTCAGAAAGTAGCAAGAACAATAGGATAAGTATGTTCAAAATGAGGGAGAGATATTGAGGGGGGATTTATGGCAATGTGTCTTTTACTGCGATAAATTTTTAAAATTTAAATATTCACTGTATTGTTAAATCACACCTTACATATGCCATTTGTTCTGAAGTATTGTTCTAGTCCAGTGTTCCCTTGTTAATTTTCTACCTAAGTGATCTGTATATTGTTGAAAGTGGGGAATTAAAAGTACTCTACTAATTGTATTACAATCTCTCTCCCTTTAGATTTGTTAATATTTTCCTTATATATTTAGGTGCTCTGATCTTAAGTGCATATGTATTTAAAATTGGTAAATCCTCTGGGTGGATTGTCCCCTTTATCATTATAAAATGAACTTGTTTCTTTACATTTTTAACTTAGAGTATTTAATCTTGTACAAGTTTACCTATCTTTGCTTACTTTTGATTTCTATTTGCATAGAATATCTTTTTCCGTCTCTTCACTTTCAGGCTAAGTATGTGTCCTTAACGGTTAATGCTAATTCTTTTGGTGCAGCAAATGGGAGAGGTCTTGTTTTCTTAAATTCATTTAGCCACTCTTTCATTAGAAATTTTAATTCACTTAAATTTTAAGTAACAGGGGCCGCTCAAGGACCCGAGTTCGATTCGCGGTACCAAAAAAAATAAATAAGTAACAGCTGTGCATGTGGTGCATTCCTGCAATCCCAGCGCTCCTGGGTGGTTGAGCCAGAAAGATCCCAAGTTTGAACCCAGCTTGGGCAGTATAGCCCAGAAATAAGCGAGGTCCTATCTCAAAATAAAAAATAAAGGAAGGGCCGCTGCCTTCCTCGAACGTGCAACGTCCTGAGTTTGATCCCCGGTACAAAAAAAAAAAAAAAAAA